TGTATAAGGACATGTATCCCCCATTATAGTATCATACAGAGTACTTTGCTGCCCTGCAAACTTTCTGTGCTCTGCCTTTTCACCCCTCCCCTGCCCCACACCCTGACAACCACTGATCCTTTTACTGTCTCCGTGGTTTTGCTTTTTATGGAATGTCACATAGTTGGAATCATACATTATATAGCCTTTCCACATTGACTTCTTTCACTGACTGATATGCATTTAAAGTTTCTACCGTGTCTTCTCATGGCTTAGTCGCTCATTTCTTTTTAGTGCTGAATAATATTCCATTGTCTGGAAGTACCATAGTTTATTTATCCATTCACTTACTGAAGGACATCCTGGTTACTTCCAAGATTTGGTAATTATGAACAAAGCTGCTGTAAACATCTGTGTGTAGGTTTTTGTGTGGGCTTTATAAGTTTTAAATTCATTTGGGTAACTACTAAGGAGTACAATTGCTGGATCATATGGTAAGAGTATGCTAAGTTTTATAAGAAACTGCTACAATGTTTTGCAAAGTAGCTATATCATTTTGTATTCCTGCCAGCAATGAATGAGAGTTCCTGCTGCTCCACTTCTCACCAACATTTGGTGTTGTCGGTGTTTTGGATTTTGACCATTCTAATAAGCGGTATGATACCTTATTGTTTTATTTTGTAATTCCCTAATGACAAATGATGCTGAGCATCTTTTTATATGCTTACTTGCTGTCTCTATATCTTTGGTGAGTTGTCTGTTCAGATCTTTTGCCCATTTTTTAACTGGGTTCATTTATTTAATGTTGAATTTTACGAGTTCTTTATATTTTTTTTATAACAGGCCTTTGTCAGATGTGTCTTGTAAATATCTTTTTTTACCATTCTGCGATTTGTCTTCTCATTCTTTTCATGCAGCAGCTTTTAAAACAGATTCGTAGGCCCTTATCCAGATCAACTTTCTCCAGGAATGGAACCAGGAACCCAGAACTATAAAGAAGTTCCATAAAGGTTCTTAGGCAGGAAGTCCGTGGGCTAACACTGGGAACCACTGATGGTGGTGATGGGGAGGTATAGTCGGGGGTACAGGAGATTAGCCTGAAAGATAGATCAGGGCTGGAAAAGGAGGTAGAACTTGAATGCCATGCTAAGGGATGTGGCATTCAAGTCCCTTCTTTTTATTATAAGTCCCAATAAACATTTTAGGCTAAATCTTTTTTTTTCCTAAAGATTTTATTTATTTGACACAGAGAGAGAGAGAGCACAAGCAGGAGGAAATGCAGGCGCAGAGGGAGAAGCAGGCTCCCCACTGAGCAAGGGGCCTGATGCGGGGCTTGATCCCAGGACCCAGAGATCATGACCTGAGCTGAAGGCAGATGCTTAACCCACTGAGCCACACAGGCACCACTTTTTTAGGCTAAATCTTATAGGAGATGGTTTCTTGAGGGGACACCAAAGTGTGATCCAACCTTTGTTTTAGGAAGAACACTCTGGTGATAGTATATAGGAAGTATTGGGGATATTGGTGGCATTAGACCCAGTTAGGGAATCATCAAAATAGTCATATTCCAGGTGACTGGTTATAAGTCCCTCAACTGGGCTGGGGCAATGATGGAGAAATAAGTTCCATTCAATTCAACTCAACAAGTATTTCTTTAATGTTTTCGGGACTAAGCACTATATACCAAGGTTCTAAGGATTCTAAGATGAAATAGATATTGTCCCCATCCTCAGAGAACTCACAATCAAGATTCACCAAAAATAATTAAGTTGAGAATAGAGGGAACTGGTGTGTGGAACTAAATTTTGTCTCTCCCCACCTCCCCTCCCACAAATTCACATATTGAAGCTCTTACTCCCAACGTGACTGTGTTTGGAGATAGGGGCTTTAAGGAGGTAGTGAAAGTTACATGAAGTCAGAAGAGGGGGTCCCTAATCCAGTAGGAATGGTGCACTTATAAGAAGAGAAAGACATCAAAAATTGCTCTCTCCCTCTGGTACACACAGAGGAAAGGCCATGTAAGGACACAGCAAGAAAGTCCCATCGCAAGCCAGGAGGAGAGGTCTCACCAGGAACCAATCCTCCTGGCACCTTGATCTTGGACTTCCAGTTTCCAGAACTGTGAGAAAATAAACGTCTGTTGTTCAGGCCACCTGCCCTGTGGTACTTTGTTACGGTGGCCTGAGCACACTAATACAGACAAGTTTAAATTTTATTCACAGGCTGATAATGACAGGACTCAGGCCATTGATTGTAGATGTCCACAGCTCAGAGGGGACAATCTGGGTTGGTGTGAATTGCTTATCCTAAAGACAAATCAGGTGCAGAGTGAGAAAAGGGCCCAGAACCGAGCCATAGGAACACCAACATTTAAGAGTGATGACTGGGATTGGGAGGAGCTCCTGTTTGCTCACAATGTTGAAGTGTTGGTGACTTACATGACATGTGTGCCCCTCTCCTCCCTCTTCATCCTCAGAAGGATGATGGGGGAGACACTGTAGAGTGTGTGAAGTGCCTTCTATAGACTTAATTTCTGCTCTGTCCCTTCTCTACTCGCTGCCAGAGCCAACATTTAGATATGGAACTCCTGGAATTTGACATGTTGTCGATTCATGTGTTCAGTAAGTATTCACTAGCTTGTGTCGTCTGTTGGATTCTTGTATTACCGTTTAATGTTTTATGTAGTGGTGCTTTGCCTGCTTCAGCTAGAACGAAAGCTCCTTGAGGACAGGAACTGTAACTTGAACTTCTTTGCTTCTGCTCTTTATCCTCAGCTGGGGCACACAGCTGAGCTTCCGGTGGGTGCAGGACAAATATTTGCTTTGAATGATTATGGGAACAATGGTTACATTTAGGTAATCATTTTTTAAGCTTTTGCAAATTACAAATGTAGTTAAAGCAAGATACATTTATTTTAAATTACAATGTACAGTTTAAGGCATCAAAAGTGTATTAGTAGGAATCACGGTATTTTAAAAGACTCCAAAAATTAACAGCTCGTGGCAACGGATCTCTCCTGTATCAAGAAAGAGTTGGGCACAGAACTAGATTTTAGAAAATGAGGGGTGTGACAAGTGTGAATCAGTGATGCATGGCTGTTGCCTGCAGTACTATTTATGGCTCACTGACACCTCTCTGATGGGGTTAAGTATTTACAGTCAGCCTGATTTTCCCCTCTGACTCTGCAGGCTACAGCAACTCACTGGGAGCCCTGAGAAAGAGAGAAAACCTTCCCTCCAGGGCTCCCAGGCAGTGGCAAATGGATCTCCCCTCCCCCTTCGGTATCTGAAGAGGGCTTCCCTCTGAGAGTTTATGGCAGCCTGACCTCCAGCCTCTGGGTTGGAGAATCGAGAGCCTCTTCTGTACTACATAAAAAGGGCAAGTGCATTCATTATTATTATATTATTATACAATGTATAATATATAATAGCGATTATGCTGTCAGCAGCCAGAGTCTCTGACCACAGATCAGAGGCTGGGGTGACATAAATCCACCTAGTGAAGTCTTTGGAGGTTCCACGTGAAGGTGAGAGGATTCAACTCCATCTATAAAGGGGGCTCTCAGTGAAGACTTTCTTCCATAAGCAACTTTGGAGTTTGAATTTGGGGGGGACTGGGGAGATCTGGACAAACAGTATTTAGTGTATCTGGGATATGATGCAGAAAAGGTCACAACCGCCTCTTCTGAGCCCTGGAATGCTAATAGCTCTCATCCTGGCTCAGGATGGAGGCAGATGAGGAGTGACCCAGAGGCCTGCAAAGAGTGAAGGGGCAGCCTTCAACTTCTTGGGTCAGATTCTTTACTGAAAACCTGGCCTGCTTGGGTTTCACTTTCTGCTTTCCTTGCTTACATCAGTGTCTTTGTCTAGGCTTTATCCAGGCCCCCTGCCTGCTCTGGGGTCAGAGGATCAATCGCTGCCTGACTGTGGCAGAACTGGCTCCTCTATGGGGAGCAAGGAGCAAAAGTCAAGGGGGAAGGGGTTCTCTTTTCCCTTTATGCAGAGGGCCATGTGCTAAGTTGTGGAAGCAAGCAAGACTGCATCTGTAGGTGGCTGGGTGCCTACGCCTGGCACTTAGTAGGACTGTAATCTTTTGGAATGAAAGAAAGCACATGTATGACAATGCAAGCTTGCACAGGTCTTCTTAGACGGCACCAGTGTGAATTTCCTCCGTGAAGTAGAAGGAAGCCACCCTAGCAGGCCCAGGCTGAACAACAGCCCAGCTGATCGCTCCCTTTATATTACACCACCCGACCCTCAGAACTCTGGGACTTTTTAGAATGAAAATAGCAATGGCTTAGAATAGGCTTGCCAGGCATTTGCAAAGATGTGATTTACTAACAAGGCCTCTACACCCTTTTATCTCTCCCTCTGCCCCACCCCATTACAGTCTCCCCCTCGGTGAGCCAAACGCCCCAGGAAGCCCACAGCAGAAAAAGCTCTTGAGAATAGGAATAACTAACCAGAGTGTCATCTGAGCACCTTTTCTGGGGCCAGGGTAATGAGAATTATTCAAATGCAATCATAAAAATGAGGCCATCAGGCAGGAATGGGGTGGGGGTGCGGGGGGAAGAGTGGTGGTGGAGGGAAGGATTCCTCGCCAGTTTTAAGTTTCATGATTTCGGGGGAGTTCTCTCGGGGTGCACGGAAAATTCCCCCTCCTCGCCATCCCCTGAGCCCAGGAGGTCGTGCCAGTCGGCCTCGGTGGTTTGCAGAGAGGACGCGGCGTGGGGGTGGGGTGGCGGGGGTGGTATCCCCACAGTCCCGAGGGCGTATGCCGCGTCCCTCCGCCGCGGCGGGCTCGCAGTGCGCGGCTTCCTCTCCAGCGCCGTTCGGCCTCCCGCCAGCAGGAGCGGGCCCGCGCCGACGTCTCCGAAAAGCCTCCAGTAGAGGGAGACACTCCAGCTGCGGCTCCGACTTGGAAGCGCCGGGCCGGGAGTGGGTGGGGGCGAGGGGGGTGGGGAGAGAGGGGGGAGTGGGGCGAGGGGAGGTGTGGGGGGGGGCTCCGGGGGGCGGGTCCCTGTGCCGCTGACGTCCCGAGCAGTGCTGGGAAGTATAGGCTGTGTTGTCACGCCGGTGTCAGTCTGATGAAGATTGGCATCAGGTAAGCTGTCATTCATTTCCATGTCAGAGACGCTTTTGCAGGCGGCGGCGGCGGCGCGGCGGCGGCTGCTGCTGCTGCGGGCGGCTGCCTCAGAGCGCGTGTGTTTTATTCCAGTCCCCAAGCCAGAGTATTATTCATTGCGACAGGGCAAGGAGGAGAGAGGGAGAGAGGGAGGCAGCAGGGAGGAGAGAGAGGGAGGCAGAAGGGAGGAGGGAGGCAGGGAGCAGAGAGGGACGGCGGGAGCGTGCAGAGAGAAGCTGGGGAAGCGCCGGGAGAGCGCGGAGCGAAGCAGCGCGAGCGGCGCTGAGGCCCGGGAAGGAGGCGGCCGGAGCCGTGCGGCCCGCCCGAGCCCCGGCTCGGCCCGCGCGCAGCCCCGCCGCCGCCGCCGCCGCCGCCGCCTCCTCGCCCCGCTCGGGCCCGTGGCCGGGCGCGCATTGTCCGCGGGTGCAAGGAGCGGGGCTTGCGGACTCGGACGGCGGCGGGCCCGAGACACCGTGGCGGGCGGGCGGGGAGCCGTGCGCCGCGAGAGCCGGGGGGCCCGAGAGTAGGGACCCGCGCGCGGGCCGGAGCCCGGGGGCAGGCAGCTCGGGGCTGGGCGCTCCGCGGGCGAGGCTAGGAACCGCGGGCCGGCTCCACGTTCGCCTGCTCCCGGCTTCGGGCGCCCTTTGGGCCGGCGCTTGCTCGGCGCCACCGGCCTGGAGCTGCCTTACGGGCGGCTGCGAGCGGGAGCAGCCCCAGCCTCGGGCCGTGTGACCGGAGTGGAGGAGCCGCGGCCGCGCGTCCCGCCCGGCCTGGGGAGCCAGGGCGAGTGGGGTTTTGCCGGCGGATCGGTGGGGACGGCGCAACTCGAGCTGTGGTTCAGGGCAACCGAGCTCCCAGGGGCCACGCTCAGGGACCTTCGCCCCTGGAGGAGCGATTTGTAGGGTAACTGGCTTTCGGCGGATTGTTGGGAGTCTTTGGCGAGGTCGGTGAGGCGTAGGGGCCCAGGGCGAGGTTTGGGAATAGGGAGCCCTCCTGGCCTGAGAACTAGGACACGAGTTCGTAAAAGGGGGGACGGAAAGCGCCCAACAGCCGTGAGCTGAGGGGGATGGGGCAGAGTCCCGAGTCTGCCGCGCAAAGTTTGCGTTTCTTTCGGGTTGGGCGAGCGGGGTTCTCCTGACTCCCGAACCCGAGGAAGAAACGAGCGAAGCGGGCGGTCCTTTCCGGGGGCTCTGGGCGAGAAAGACCGAGGTTCCTGAGCGGTGGGGACACGGGCTAGGAATGGCAGTGGGGCGGGGGGGTGGCTGGTAGTGGTGCAGCAGCCCTGAATTAGGGCTGGGCTTCAGGGCCACGCTAGAGTTGGGTTGTAAGATTCAGGCTGTTTTCAGAAGCGGGACTGAAGAAGGGCTGCTGAGTAGCTTAGGGATCGGACCTACACCCCCAGCCAGAGCAGGGGGCTGGAGGTAGGAGTTGGGGGCCTGGGCTTACACCTGAGGGTGGACTCGGCGGAACGGGTGGCGTTTTTAGTATTTTGCCACGGGATCACGGCTTTTTATTGGGATGAGGCTATTGAAATTTGGGGGAGGGTCGCCCGAGCGGGCCCCCATGCTCCGTGGGTGGAAAAACGTTTAGGCAGGCGATGAAAGTAGTTGATCCGGGCCATGGCAGGCGAGCCCCGAATTTCTGCTGCTTCTCCCCGAAAGCGGATCTGGAGCAGAGGACTTGAGGCGCGCAGAACCCGGTCCTAGGAGAAAGATTCCGGGAAGCGGACAAATCGAAGGGACGTTCTGGGTGAAGCGACAGGGCAGCCCCACAGGGCTCGAAGTGGATCCGAGGACCGACCCTGGCGGCTCTGCGGGCTCTGGAAGCCACTTGGGGGGCTGCGGGCGCAGCGCGGCGGGCGGGCGCGGGTGGCCCGCAGGGACCGCGGCCTGCGCGGGGGGCGCTAGCTGCGAGGTGCCGCATCGCGCCGGGAGAGTCCGGGCTGCGGCCGAGGGCAGGGCGGGCTCGAACTCCGGCGTCCTGGCGGGAGCCGCGGGCTCTAGACCCGCAGGCGCTCCGGGTGCTTCCTTCCCCGCGACTTAGCTGGGAAGCCCACAGGCCGGGCCGCCTGTGTGTTCAGCCTGGGAAACGGGGGCGCTCTGGGTCTTCTGCCCTCACCCCACTTGCCTCGGGACTTCTCCAGCGTGTTGACTTTTCGGATATCGAGTGCTCTCCAACTGGTGGAAGCCAAAAGCTTCACATTTTAGGCCGATCTAGGCGACCCTCCCCTCCCCAAAGCTGAGGAAATGATGGTATTCAAACACACGATATATTACGCAAAGCCCTAGCCCCTAGCCCTCTCGCTTACCCTGCCGTTCGGCCTTCCAGAGGCCTCAGGGCCTTAGGGAGAGGGAAGGGGGCCTCCTCTTGTCTCTGGACTCGTGATCTCCCCCTCGAGCTGCACCCTGCAACCCCATTCTATAGCCCCATAGCTCAGGCCTAGCTCGGGCGGTGGGAGAGAAGTCCGAACCGGGGAGGGAGGTTATCCCTCTGGCCAACTAGGGAAGCGAAGTGTGTAAGGGGCTGTACGAAAGGAAGATTTGAAATTTCCTTTTTGCAGTCTTGAGCCCACAGTCCCAGCCTTCCGCACCCCTCACTCAGGCAGGCAGACGGCGCTGCGGGGACTCAGAAGACGCAAGACCCACGAGTGGCCGCAGCGGCCTCGGGCCTCTGGCCTCGCCACTGCCGGCAGGCAGCGAAGCTCCGAGGCTGTCTTTTTTTTTTGTTTTTTTTTTTTTTCAGGCCTGGAATTCGTGAGCTCTCCCGCCGGGAGCCAGAGGGCGGGAGGGAGCCATGACCCCACAGAGACTCCCCAGTCACCGCCTCCCCTTTGTGAGCGCGAAAGGCATGAAAGCCCAGAGAAAGAGAAGCTGCTCAGAATAAGGGGCAGGGGGTTACTGGAGGGAGATGGGCCCGGCCAGCGCTCACAGTAAAATGCTTCGTGCAAATTGCACTGAAGTGTACCCAACTTGAGACTGGCTGTTTTATGATCCTTTCTGCGAGTTTACTGCTCCATGCTTTTAAGTCTGTAGATTGCTTTAAGTTAATGAAAGTGCTGCTTTCAAAAGGGTCTTTTATTGTGCGGCCGTGGCAAGGCCAGTACCGGGGTCCCCTTTCCTCTTCCAAAATGGGCCTGTTTAAAAAGAGGGAGGCTCCTGGAGTTCCCACATGGACAGAGCTTGGGGAAGGGTGCCATGTGACAATGAAAATTAATAAAAAAATCAGTGTCCCAAGTAATTCAAAAAGACGAGTTTACTTCTTTTCCCAGTCCAGGGTCACCTGTGCCTTCTGATACTGCCTTTTGGACTTCCACTGAGTCTGACTTTAAGTGCTGCCTGGTGCCTCCCCCGTAAACCCTGTCTCAACACTGCTTTATGTAGGCCTGACCCTGTTCAATTAAACTCAAACTGGATTTCAGGGTTTCAACTGGCTGCCAATTCAAACTGCAACTAAAATATTTACTTGGGGCCCGGGGGGGCTTTGCCTTGCATTTAGTAAGAAAAATGTGTTAAAATGTCAGGGAGAAAGGCTGGGAACCTTGAGAAGAAACATGGAAGGCTATTTTTCAGCGCTTTCCCCTTTTTCAATCTATTTGGCACAAAAGGTGAGAGGACAAGGTTTTCGACTAGGTCCTAACACAGAAACTGCAGTGGGGCTGGGCTGTGGCTTTGACCACATGTCATAACCATTTAAACTGTGGTTAGTTGTTCAAAGCTCAAAGCTTCTCCAAGCTGGGTTTCATTAACTCTACACCAGTTGCCTGGAAGTTCAGTAGCAATAAATTGTATAAACACATTTGAAGTAAGTTAGTGATGAAATAAGGAGAATTACTGTCTTGTGAGTGGAGAATCCTGAATTCATGGAGTTTTAACTTAACTGGAAACATACCTCCTCTCCCTTGGCCTTGATGTTTATGGGTGCACCAGAGTGTGTGTTAAATTTCTGTCTGCCATGTCCATCTTCAACCTGGGACTGTAACTCATTAGGGACCAAGGCATGCCTAGAAAGCAAAAAGGCTGGGTTTTTAAAGGGGGCTCTATTAGCCTGGTTTAGAAACCAAACCAAACCCATCAACCTGACTTCCTTACCCTGGGTGAATGCAACATAAACAGCAGCAGAGCAGGCCAAATTAGATTTTTAAATGTTAGCGGCTTAATAATACTGTGTTGTTAGCAATTGAATTTGTTTTTATTAAAGAAACAACCTATAAAATTTATAGGCTTCCAACATGTTGCAAGATTTCCTTGCTATTTATTTAGTGCCCTCCCCTGAAATTCTATCTCCAATTTCAGACTTTTGTTCCTGATTTATTTAATTTAAAGCACATTTTCTAAATTAGTTCGAGGAAGGTGAGAAATGCTGTTATAAGTTTTCCTTTTTCCTATGCTGTGTGGCACAAGGACTGTGATGCTGTAAGATATATATAAATGTGTGATGTAATTGCTGGAGGTGACGGCATGTGAAGCCAAGTGTCTGGATCAAACAAAATGCAGATCAGAGTATGGAGAGGGCGAAGCGACGCCACGGAGGAAAAGCAGAGGAAGTTATACGGAAAATGAAATCATCGTGAGCCACTGTCAGCCTTGGTTCTAGCCAACACACCATGCTTTGTATAAAAACACTTCACGTGCGATCTGTGACTTATTGAAGATTGAATTATATTGAGAAGCAGAATTTAGAGGGAGTAACTGCCCTGGCTGGGCTCTGGCCAGAATGCATGGCCGGGCTTGTTGCGATGGGGATCTGCTAATTTAATTAAATCTAATACCTGGTGGGAAAGGGAGGAAGGAGATAATCAAGGTTGGCAGGTCAGCATGCTGAGCTAGTGTTTAAGCTGAAACTGGGGGGCCTGGCGGTTTTATGCTCTGTTACTGTCTGGCTATATGACTCCAGCGGGTCACCTAGCTTCTGGATCTCGGTTTCTTCATCTGTAAAGTAGAATGTATAGCATGAATCCCTCATTAGGCTACCGAGGGGCA